TAAAATAATACAAACGTTTATATAGGAACATATATAATCAAAATTCAATGTTAAAACAAGTAAATTTAAAAACATATATTATCACCAGATTTGACCCTCACAGTCACAGGCTATAAGGTGCCTAATATTGATTTAGAAGAGTTGTCTCTTACTGTCCAAAGATTACGTACATAGGAAAGCATCAATAGAAATGCAGAACCGGTTAGTAAACAGGGTTATAGTGTACAGTAACAAGTTTTAATAATGAAAATAATTGTATCTAAAATCTCTAAATAGCCAATACCACAAATAAGAGCATCGTCACTGAACATATATTACCTAGTGTTATATACTTACAATCCAAATCGGCCTGGTGGTTAAGCCGTTCAACTTGCAATCTACAAGTCTTGGGGTCGAAACCCATCGCCAAACATGCTTGCCTTTTGAGTCGTTTTAATGTGAACTTCAATCCCACTATTCTTTGGTAAAGAGTTGATGGTGGGAGGTGTTGACTAGATGTCTTCCATCTAGTCTCACTTCAAAATTGGAGATGGCTAGCGTAGATGCCCCTCAAGTAGCTATGTGCTAAAATTCAACAAACAACACATTCCAGCTTTTGTAACTATCTTAAAACATTTTTTTATTTTGTGCCCTAACTCAAAATTAAAAATATGCATTTCCCATTTTAACTGGCAATATAAACATTATACAATATCAGTATTGTCAATGAGAAACTGTTCATATAGTTGTTAACAGTAGAAATGCAAATTAACATACTGTAATAATTCCCTTTGTGACTCAGCAGTAAGTATGCGGTCTTATAATATTAAAACTCAAGGTTCGAACTGAGATGTACTCAGAATACAAATAGCCCATTGTGTAGCTTTGCGCTTAGCAAAAAAAAAAAAATCGTTTAAACCGTTTTGACAACATTTTATATAGTATTTACTTATGATGTTTAGAATCGGATATTTTATATGATAAAATTAAAGTGAAATAAACCGTATTCAAGAAAATAACATGACTAATATTCCCATTGATACAAGTTAAAAGTAATTTTCGGCTTCTACTAAAATATGCATTCCAAATAGTTTTTTTTTTTTGAAACTAATATATCAAAGAACGAATAATTATATGACATGCTACTTTTGAGATCAAAGTTACTCCCTTTCCAAAAGAAAAAAAAGTTAGAAACTTGAATGACAGAAACATATATATATGCATACACATTTACTCATGTTTTAACAAAAGGTATTAGTGCGCATAAAATTTAATAAGAAACACATTTTTTAGAACAACAGCTCTGTTACCATTGCTTTTGAATTACTTTTTATTAATTAACTCATTTACTTTCTTTTTTTAGATGAATGAGAACAAAAACAATTTTCAACTTCTTTTTTATAACTTCCAAACGCACATACACAATAAAAACATAATTAATGAAAGTGCATATATTTATTCTAATTCAAAATATATTAATAGTAGTTCCATGTTGATTGCAAAATAAAATATATTGTTTCAGGTGCATTTGTTTTTACTGCTTTGAGTCTTTAATTAATTCTTGGATATTATTATATTAAATGTTACGTGACAGGATATATATTTTATTATTAATTTAAATCTGCATTGTATGTGCTATTTCTACATACTTCTAAATTATCATGTACATCGCACTTTACGAGATGGCGCTAGTAATTTACAACGTTGATTGGAATAAATATATGTAAAGTTAACCTAAAATACTGTTTACCAAGTTAATTGTTTTGAAAGTTTAATAGTCAAGTGAGTTGATTACACTTACAGAATTGACGTTATATTTGGTAAGTTTAGGATGTTTTTTGGTAATTGTTACAAGTCATGTGATAAGACATGAGATCAACGAGAAACTGTATAAATAAATATAAATAATTCTAAAAGTATAATGAGATCTGGGTTGTTACTGTTACCAATTTAACTTAAGTTAGTAAAAAATAAATCTTGTATAATGGCATCAAAATTGATTTTCTGAAAGTAAAACTGAATGTTAGGAACTAAATATTTAATGTATTTTTAGCAGCACATGAAACCTAATTATGCAATGAACTGTATCCTCATTAGTGGTTAGCAATAATTCTGAAAACAGAAAAGGCATTTTCCATTGTTAATGTTAATTTGTTGATTATCTCTCGAAATTTGGCATAAGAAATCACCCTGACTCATTTTCTCTCTCCCTCACTACAGTACTTGGTTCCATATAATCCTACCAGTATATCTAAAATTAAGGCTCCCAGAATGTCTGAATTAGTTTGAAGTTAATACACATACTACTGGCTTGAAATGTTAGTGAAATGAGTTAAAAAGTGATGTGGAACAGATTTTGGGAAGAAAAAAAGTTTAAATAATTAAAATAAAGTGTTTTTAATTCAAGGTAGTGGTATTTCTACAATAAGGAAAGCATAATAGGGAAGATCAAACCTAACTGATTCACTAAAGACAGAAAGGAGAAAATTAAGGAGAAATGCTCTAAGTTTAAGGAGTTTGAATTGATAGTAATGTTTGAAGATTTACAAAAATATAGGAAAGTTAGGGATTTGGTTCAAAAATAAATTAACAAAGAAACAGCTGGCTGAAAGTGTTATAACTGTTAGCAAAGATTTTTTATGTATGTTAAACTTAAAGGTAAGCAGAATGTTAAAATGTTTTGTTGATGGCAATGAGGTAGCTGAGCTTTTAAATGTTTTCATCTCTTTTGTTTATACAAAAGAAAGTACTATCAATATTCTGTACCCTGAGCTTGTACTTGGTGGTAAGTAGAAAGACTGATAGAGTAAAAATATTTAAAGCATCAAGGTTATATGCAGAGTTTTAAAGCAGATAAAAGATCGGATGTGAAAGCCTCTTTTTTTCCATTTTTGATTGTTCAATAGACAGTGAGCAGATGCCTGACACTTGGAGATTTGCTAATGTTTATGCTATTCTTGAAAGGGGTGGTAAGAGTTGCCTTGCAAATTATAAACCAGTTAGTCTTACTTCTGTAGTGGAAATTTTTTTAGAGTCTGATAAAAGAAGCTTTAGAAAATTATTGAGTGAAATATGATACCATAAATGAAGGCCAACATGGATGAGCAAAATATAACTGTGTCTTTCAGAGTATGTTACTTGTTATCAGGACAATGGAAAAAGATGTGGAATTGGTGTACTTAGATTTTCAAATGATGTTCATAAGGCTTTAGGAAGAACAAAAGATTAGGTAAGAAAATCACATAGGTAGGGGTTGAGGAAAGATTAGTTAGTTAGATTGTAGAGTGGTTGGATGCAAAAAAGCAAAAGGTTGTTGCTATTGCATGAGCTCAAACTTCTGACCTTATGCTTGAAAAGTGCCTTTTTTCTCAATCATAAACAAATTTTCAACAACTACTAAAACATATGTCTAATTTCACACTTTCTTTAATATGAGTTATAAGGTAAAAAAAATATTTCAGTTTAAAATGAATGGAACATGGGGGCTTGTAGGTCTTCACAATAAAAAAAAACTGCCAAATGCCATCAAATGTTAATACACAAGAATTCACTGTTTAGTTTTAGAGTTTGTAAGACCAATTGAATAGGAATAAAGAGAATCTGTTTCCTTATCCCTTTCTTTTCTTACCTTATGTGTACCAGAGGCAACTCGTAGTCTCCCCCCAACACTTTGCCTGAAAAGTACCCTTTTTTGTCAATGGGCCCCCTACTCTTGATATTTTCTGCACATTGCTGGATGGCAGTGCTTGGGTCTTTGTTTTTATTAGTATTGGTATTAATGATACTGATATCGGCATCATTATTAAAGTGTACTTATAACATTAATTGAATATTTCTAGGTGTATTGAGGATGTTGAGGAATTACAAATTGACTTCATCATATGTTAAGTTGGACTAATATATGGCAAGTGAAGTTTAATTATAATAAGTGTGAGATAATGCATTTGGGTTATAAGTTGTATCATTTGTTTAATATAGATAAAAAAATATTTGAAATAGCATCACTGAAGAAAAGTATCTTTGCATAGTGGTGGATAAGTTGCTCAAGCCATCAAAGCAGTGAACTATTATTAGAAATAAAGCAAATAGACTTACAGAGTGCATTTGTAGACATTAATTGCAAGTCAAAAAAGGTAGTTATTTCTATACAAATCACTTGTTAGGTTTTACTTGCAGTTTTTGTCTACTTGTCTTAGAATATTGGGTTGCTGGAAAAGGATCAGAGGAGAGCTTACTAGGATGACTGTTAGGAAATGTTATCTTAAAGGGACAGGTTAAGATCTCTTCACTTATTTTCTCTTCAGAAGAAGAGGATTAGAAATGATCATATTAAAGTTTGCCAGATTATCTAGGGGATTAGTAGAATCAAAGCTTCTGATTTTTTTGTTTTGGATTCTAAAGATGATAAGATGAGAGGACACAACCTTAAGATTTGCAAGAGACAAGCTAGGTTCCAGTTAAGTACAGTTTTATTTCTAATAGTATGATTGTCATATATAATGAGTTGTTGTTGGTAGTAATGGAAATCAACACTTTCAGTAGCTTAAGAAGAGGATTTAAGACATCCTAAAAGATTAAGAGTGATTTTAAATTTTTACTTTTTTTGTAGGGTGGATGTACAAGGACAGTCTATAAGAACTATATATTCCCATGTTGACCTTGTATATATTTTGTGGTTGCATTTTATTGTGTTTACATTGTATCACTAAACATGGCAGTGCTTAGTATGTAGGAATGGGCTGAGAATAAAATGGCCACTGCATTCAATCTGTTACTCTATTGTGCTTACAAATAACTGCTAAAGTTAAGTTATAGCATTATCAAGTGTGTCACAGCTTGTATAAGGTAATATTATTCTTTTTCTCTACCATACATATTTTGTGGGGAAAAGTACTACTTAGCAGTGAGTTCAGTTTATAAGCATATATTATTTCCATGTTTCAGGAATAACAGTTTAATTTCTGCACGCTAGATGGCAGCACAAATTGTTCTTATATAACAACTGTTTGTGACTTCATTGCACTAACATAATATCTGCCAAAACAGTTTCAGTAAAAATAAAGAAAAAAAATCTAAATTAATATTCAAGGTATCAAGTATTTATATAGCTGACAGATCTGTGTACATATTATTGATGTATGAGTTTAAAAACACCAATTTCTTAATCAACAATACATTACATAGGGGTCTACTTTTCTGAAAATTTTCAGTGAGGCCAAGCCTGCCAGCTGTGTGTGTATGTGTGGTATCATACTTCATGGTCTGAGATATATATAAGATGTCTTCCCTATTAATCGACTAGAACCTAGCATGTTGTGTAGCCAATTGTATGTACATGCAGCAAGTTGGGGTGAAGTTGGAAGGTGTTGGTTCTGTAAATATCCCTTTAACATTGGTCCAGCACTCCAGGGTACTTGTACTGTCCTGGAGGAACCATTCCAGCTTTACTAGCCCCTAGTGTAATCCAAAGTTAGAGAAACTAATATGATATTAATATATATTACCATTGAATTATAAAAATAAAATAAATGTTCACTTATCAACCTACTTCAATTAAATTGTTTAAAAGAAAAGAAGGGCAAACATTAAGTATAATGTAGAGATGACAATGCCAAAAAGTACAGAAACAAGGTAGGGATGAATACACAAAACCACATAGAAATCCTTACATAAGTAGCCAGTAAATACTGAGTCAATCTTACAAGCTTATGGTTATTAGCCGCTGTAAAACTGTGTAGCACTATTCAGTTTAAATGCTTTTATTCAAATTTGTATTCATGCAATTGACAGGGATTCAACATTTAGTTGTAGATAAAAATTATTATTGGAAAAATTTGACTACTTATATAGTAATTTTTGCATGGTTTTGTGTTTTCATCCCCACCTTGCTTCTGTGCTTTTTGGCATTGCCATCCCTACACTATAGTTAATTTTTGCAACATTTTTTTATTACATTGTATTAGCAGATAATCAGCTAAGTTTTGAAAATTGAAGTTTGTTGAACTGAATTCTTGTGATACATAATAGAAAAAAAAAAATACCACTTTTATTTGAAATGACCATTCAAAATTTCACCAGGGATGCACTGAAAATTATAAGTTGCATTCATTAATTTTGGACATGGTACGTAGCATTTCAAAATAACATTACACTGCAAACATAAGTGTTTCAAAATGGCATTAAACTGCATACATAAATTACTTTCCTGGCAAAACAAGCATGGTTTTTATTTTTCTTACCACTCTCTCTTTCAACAGTATGAAATTGGTGATTTGAGTAAATTGCATGCCAATGTATTTGATCATGTGACTGTTGTTTCACTATGCTCTTAAGATAATGACAGTTTTTATTTTGTTAAAAAGCAATTCCAAAAAGAATATGGATGCTCAATTCCTCTCGGCAAAATTGGTGCATATTACACCAGAAGATTTTGGGCTTTGACATTTCCTCAAATGGAATGTAAAATGTCTTTAGGAATAGCCCAAATATTTGGGGGGATCTGAAAATATCCAACAGAAATGAGATTGCAAGGATCAGTGAACACTGTCCAGTATAAATGGTTTGCAGTATATACATTTAAGTATAGGCTTTATATGCTGAGACAAGTTTTAAAATGCTTTGTAGCATGTCTATACTTTCTTGAATAAAACCTATGGTTTTTAATGTGCCTCTGGTAAAATTTAGTTCCTCTAAGACAAATGCTTTTTAAGTTACACTCATTTAAAATATTAAGTTTTTATCTATAATCTCCCATTACTCACAATGTATAAAGGTTTGTTTGTTTTCAATATTCTGTAGCTAGGTACTTATCATAGAAATAGTTATCAGTATTTTTGTTTGGTTATCCTACTTAAAAAAACATTTTTGCAGAAAAATGCAAATCATTTATATAGCTGTGTAGTAAGCTATGTAATTTGGTATAGCCATTATATAGACCAAAATACACTGAAGATAGAAGTTTTACAATGAAAAACAATAAGTTTCAATAACTTAAAGGCAAATATATATATAAGGCATTTGAATAGGGCTTAAAAACAGTATATGAAAAATGAAAAGCAAAAAAAAACTCATAAGCACAAATATACTATCCTACCAGAAGTCATTGGACACACCTCTGATTGCAGGAAAATGGGTTTGATGATGAAATATGCAAATAATTTGGCCTATAAAGGTGATCAGTGGTTCGCTCGGAAGTCATTTTGAACTTGTATGCTGAACGACGAGTACACGGAAAGAGCTAACAGAGTTTTAGAGGGGTAGGATAGTTGGATGTCATTTGGGGAAAATGTCTGTACATGCTATTGAGCAACAATTAAACATTCCCAGGTTAACAATTGGCAACATGCTGAAGAAATGGAAGTTCATAGGTGACAATGAGCCCAAGAAACAACCAGGTAGTTGTAAAATACTGACTGAGAGGAGCTGACGTGCCTTGAGAAGGCTAGTTATCTCATCTCTCAGTCAGACCTTAGAGAATCTGTGCTTGGAGATGTGAGCAGTCACAGGCAATCCTATAAGTTGATCGGCATGGGGCAAGGCACACCGAACCTGGATCATGGATTAATAGAAATAAGTCCTGTGGAGTGACGTGTCACGCTACATGCTCTTCTAGTCTGATGGATTTCATGTCTTTATTCCAAGAAATTAATAGTGTGATGGCCTGCATTTAGGCTTTAATGACTACTTCAATGTATCATGGAAGACTGTCTACTAATTTCTGGTAGAAAGCTGGTGGTATTGTGCTCCACTTCTCCTTTAAAGCATTAGTAAGCTCCACTACTGAAGAGGGCCATCTTGGCCTTGCTCTAATTCTGGGTTCCAGTTTATCCCAAAGATGTTCTATCGGGTTGAGTTTAGGGGTTCTATGCTGGCCACTGCAATGTTCTGATGTTATTCTCTTCAAACCACACGTTCACAATCCTTGCTTTGTGACATGGAGCGTTATCATGTTGGAAGGTGTAAGGGCCAGTACGATAAAATTGACACAATAAAGAACTCAGCATTCAAGAATCCATCCACTGTGATCAGTCCATACCACGAGAAGCACCTCCAGACCATGATATTGCCACCTCCAAACTTCACTGTTGCGACAACACACTCAGGTAGTAAGCATTCTCCAGGCATCCTTCATACCCAAACATGTATTTACAACTACCCATAACTTTTGGTAGGATAGTGTATATTAACTACCCTAAAGTAGCTGAGCAGAGTATGTTACAGATTCTTCATTGTTGTTTTTTTGTTTTTTTTTGAGCTGGTTGTCCAGTTCGTATCTTTTTATTCCCCCCGTTTTTTTCCTTCACCTTTGAATGTAATCCATGTAGACCTTTTGGATTGGGGTAGGGGTGAGTTTCAGGTATTCTATCTAAGGAAGCCAACATTATGGAGTTGGTTGATTTTTCGAGGATTCTATTTTAATTTTTTTGCCTGTTTAAAAGGAATAGAAGACAGACAATCTATTTTAAATATCTTTGATCTAATTCAGTTCCTGATTATCCCTTGTTTTAAGCTGGTGAAGAAAATCCAGAAATTTTCCCATGCTCTTCTCCACAGGTTGTCAAAAATAGACATCTCTGATTCATATACTTATTTATATGGACTCAACAAATTTTCTGAGTTTTGTCCATGGAAATGTTATGTATCATGTGTTAACTTTCCATAGTAGTCTCTCCTTAGCTTCTCTTGTCTTTATGAGAGTGGATTGTTGATTTAGTATCTGCCTTTGCTATCTATAAGAGCATTTTCAATTGTTCAGTTGAGTACTGTGTGACAATTCTAGTGATTGTGGTGACAGGCACTGACCCATCATAGAGATCAGCTGCCTTGCAGCAGGTGGAAGTGAGTTCTTTTACTGATGTTGCTCATGGTCTTCTAGTTATATACTGTCCTGTTGAGTCCCATATTTTGCTTTTTTGTAGCTACACCATATGGTATCTTGTTTTCCAACATTCTCATTCCCTCTGAATATCAGTGGAGGCTTCCATGGTTGTTGCTTTTACTCTACTTGTACAGAGGAGATTGATATCCTGCCAGTAGAATTGTGATGGATTTGATAAAGGGGTTTCTCTTGTGGGCTTGTTACCTTCCTCGTTTAACTTTACTCCTGCATGGCCTGGCACATACATCCAAGTGATGGTCTTACCATGCACTTGCTTTGCTTTCTGAAATTCATCTGGAAACATCTACTCTGAATGTTTTGTTGTTCCTCTTGTACATAAAAATTGACAATTGGTTGATCCTTGCCTAACTGGGCATGCCATGCTTTAAGGATCATAACACAGTTTGGTAATCAACAATCTTGGCTTTGGTGTTTCCCATTAAATTGTCATATTATCTTCAGATCTGTCTTTGCTTTGTTATCGTCTGGGTTCTTCTTATTTCCTTTGTCATAGGATTACTCTGTTTTTAATGGAATTTTGTGACACTTCTTCAAATCAGGAGGACTTTTTTGTATAACTTTCTTTTTTAGAACTGAGAAGAGCTGGTATTCATGATCTCTATTTTTTATTTTTTTAGATGTGGACTTGTGTTTATTGCTAATTTTTATTTCTTGTTTCTGGATTTTCCCAGGTTGCATGTCAGTCTTATCCCTGGATGCTACTCTTAGTAAGGAATTAGGGTTCTGGATATGATTCATCCCACTCCTTTTTTAGCATGGGCTCATGGATACCCTGCTGAAACAATTTTCTCTTGTTTTTTCATCTTTGAGAAGTCAACCCTCTTTAGTATTTTTCATCCTGGTATTTTTTCATTTGTAGATGTTTATTTTCATCATTGTTGTCAGGTTCTATAATTGAAGGTCTAAATTCTCTACTAATCTATTAGCATTTTTCTGGTTGTTTTGTGTTTGATATTTTCCACTCTGCACATTCATATCAGTCTCTGCTTTGCTGTCTATAACTATAATGATGAGGATGGGACTTGAGTTCTTGTAGATTGGCTGGTAAGTGTATCGGTCTTAGAACTCTCGTATGAGCTGAGGGTCTCGTGTTCAAGCCCTGGTCAGGACAGATTTCTTAACAGAATTTCGCACAAAGCTACATGAGGACTATCTGCGCTAGCCTTCCCTAATTTCGCAGTGTAAGACTAGAGGGAAGGCAGCTTGTCATCACCACCCACCACCAACTCTTGGGCTACACTTTTACCAACGAATAGTGGGATTGACCATCACATTATAATGCCCCCATGGGTGAAATGGCGAGCATGTTTGGTGTGATGAGGATTTGAACCCGCGACCCTCAGATCGCGAGTCGATTGCCCTAACCACCTGACCATGCTGGGCCAGGAAAGATGGATAAAAATGTCCTAGCCAGGTATTCAACAGAAAAATATCCCAAGAATTCAATCACATAGAAAAAATGGTGTGCAAGCTCAGTGAAAAAGTGAAATGAGGACAAACCTTCATTCAGTGTGTCTGTAAAATCATCAACACAAACCCTGACACTGATGAAACAAGAAGTGAACAGACTTTAATATTCCCATATTTCAGGTTTGTAAAATTTCTCTTGAATGCAAATATGTTATGACCAAAAATGATGCCATGTGTCCAACTCGATTAGAGGTAATACAGAATGCAACTTGAGAGAAAGACACTTCAAAGTCTTGAAAATAAGAAGTTTTAACAAATAAGTAAGATTGGAGAGGGTAGATTTGATATATGCTGTAGACAACATTGTATCAGGGGTTGCCAAAACATAAAATAGGCAGCACTTCATAACTTATCACGAAAAACAAACAATCCATCTTTCCTCATGGACATTCATAACTTTATGGTTTCTTGATCGGGAAGCTTCATTTTCATAATTTACAATCAAATTATCTTTTCCTTTCCAGGCAATCATCATACATTATTTCACTAATGTATATGATTAAAATTCCTATTCTCTTAAAATGTTTGCTTCTTTGTACCCATTTAATTTTGTGTGTCTTCTGACAGTTTTTGTTTTCAAATTTCTTCCCAGTCCTGTCCAGGGGCTAAGTTTTAATATACTCTAGCTATACTCTTTGGCCCATCTTTCCAATAAGTACAGATATAAATGAGACAGTCAAGCTTCACATTCTCTATAATTATAAGAATGGGAAGTTTTCTTTTTGGGACTTGAGTCCAATTTAGCTTGGTTGGTAAGAGTATCAGTTTTAGAACACTAGTAGTATGAGCTGAGGGTCCCAGATTCAAGCCTTGGTTAGGATAGATTTCTTAATGTCCTGATAAGTTATGAAGTGCTGCCTGTCTTATGTTTTGGTAACCTTTGATAGTTATAGTATTGTTAATTTTTTTAGATATGTAAGTAATAATCATGTAGAATAATTTGTGTGTCAAGTTGATTATCAAATAAAAAATTGTACTTAATAGTGTAGGCTAACAGAATCATTTCTATTTTAACAATACAGGGCATGAAAACTATCTGAAGATGGGAGCAAACAGTAGTTCTATGAGTGATCTCCATAGTAATGAGTACTTGAACCGGTTTGTTGGAAAGGTGGCTGTTTCTCCTAATGACCCATTCTGGAATCAACTTCTGTCATTCACCTTTACTCCTCCTCGTACCTGGTAGGACATGTATTAAATCTGTTCAAGGTTTATTTTTCTTATAATCATTATTTAAGACTGTTGAATACCTCATGCACTACAGTAGTGGAGATTGGTATGTTTTTATCTACATAATCATTATTTTAAATCCATTTGATACTATTTTCTATGAAGTAGGATTAATCTTTCCACTTATCCTTAATTTTGGTATGCCTGCTGACTAGTGTTATTTCTCACACATTTTGTTTATTTTTTATGAATTTTTTAGTTTGAGCATGTGTTGTTTGGTTGTATGCATTTCATGAGATTACTTCAAGGAAATGCCTCCTACAGGTGGCTCAGCAGTAAATCTGAGGGCATATATTGCTTAATATCATGTTTTGATGCTCACAATGAGCACAGCACAGAAAAAACTATTATGTAGCTTTGCACTTAGCAACAAGCAAACAAATCAAGGAAGTGTCTGCTGTTCCATTAGTTTAAGACTGTTTTTGCTGAATGCATTCTTCTCAGAAGGTTTATTTGGTATTTTAGTTCAAGTTGTACTGTTTAGTTGTAAGCTACTGTGGTATTTTCCAGTCAAACTGATTTTTCTTAGAGTGACAAAGTAGGTCTGCAGAATAATAAGAGATTCAAACAAGATATTTATTATGAAATAATTCTAAGTTCTTGGAGTAACTGAGCTTATGAGAAGGAAATAGAGGCTGGACACAATTGTACAAAAAATACATGGATCAGTCTTTAATATTTACAAACACAGAGTGTGTACTTGCTTGATAAACAGACAGTTGCTTTTACTGGACCAAAACTACTTTCTCTCCAGATTGACTTAGTTGAAGTCCTGTTTTAGACTGATTAAAACCATGTGTTACTTAATATTCTATTTAACCCCATGCACTTAGCTCAGTCAAAGTGTGTGTGTATCATGACTTTTTAAAAGGTACATTCAAAATATAATTACAAAACTTTATTATCAATATATGTTAATAAATTTGGCATCAGAAAGTAATTTATAATTCAAAATTTTATATTATCTAAGTTTTATCTACTTTAAGTTCAAAAGAAAATAAAAAAATTCACTTCTCTGTGTCATGTGACACATTTCTACTTTTAGTTCTCCTTTTAGGTTTTTTCTCTTTCCCTCATATGGCTTTCAAAATGTCCAACTAATCAGAAACACAAACTATAGATATTGACAAGCCTGAATATAAAACTTGAACCTCCTACCTTCTTGAATTGCTGAGATATAAATAACTTTGCCCGACCCACTAGTGAAGCTTCTCCATTATTCTCAAGCTTTTAAAAATTTTATCTAAACCAAGTAATCTGATTTGCTGGAAATGTTTATAACCAATAGAAAGAGTATTTTTCCGATTATGAGAGTCTTGTTACATATTTCATTTTGACAGGCAGTTATAGACTGTTCACCTCAGATTGATTATGTGTGTAAATGTTTTTGTTCAGCTCCTAACAATTAAATTATTTTTATTTGAAGAGAGGCCTAGCACAGTTATGGCTTACATTTGCAAAGATCATGCAGGTCAAGCACTTTACTCACAATGTTTATGATAAGTTGTTAATGAGCTTCCTGCTGTGATTTATTAGGTGTGTATTACTGCTCAAGTGGGTAGAATTACAGCAATAAAACCATAAAATTAAAGAAAAAAGATGTGATCAGGTTAATAGTTGAAACTGTGAAGATAAGAAGACCAACAATCAAGCAAAATGATGCATTCAAGGACCAAACAAAGGTATTGTTCATTTTATTTCATATTTTTCAACTTTTCATTTCACTTTACATTGATAATTTAACTGCATTTAATGTTAGGATAGAGAAATTTTACAGATGCAATATAAGCTCTTACTAAAAAAACTTGAAAATAAAAGATAAATAACCTTACACTTAGATTTAGTCAGTAAAGGAAACTTGTGAAATTCATAGAAAAATCTTTAGTAGAAATATTTTATCAATTAAAGAGGCAGCATCCACAAGCGAATGCAACATGTTTCTGTCATGCAATCCTAACATGGCCAATTTTGACACCAGAAAAATAAAAAAAATGTCTATATCACTGCTTGGGAACTGCAAGAAGGTATCTTTGTACCATATTTCATGTAAGTTGGTCAAAATACAGCAGAGTAAATGTCAAAAAAACCTAAAATTATGCTTTTTTTTGCAGCATCTTGACTCCCCAATAATTACTAAAAATGGGCAAGTCAAACATTTTTGTCTGTCAATGTGTGCTGTCTTTAGAAAAGTATCTTTGTATCAAATGCAATCTAAATTGGTTGAAATAAGTCTAAGTAATTCACTAAACCTCTAAAATATGTAAAATAGGAACATTCTGCATTTTTATATATGTATAGGACCTGTAAAAAAGTATCTTTGTACCGAATCCCATGTAAATTTGTTGAAATATGGCAGAGTAAGTTAGGGATTTTTCTGGTGTTGTAAGCAGCCTGAACATCACTTCAATTCTCAACTATATATATTCATGTCTGTTTATCCATTATCACACAACGTGAATCCGAAGTCATTGGAGTGTGTCAATTGGACCAACTCTGTGTCTGTGGTACTATATATCAATTTTTTCTACAAATATGAATTTGCTATTTGTAGCTTCATGAAATTTGGCAAGCTTTGAGTAAACACTACATGTATGTTGTACACAGGAAATCCAAATTATTATGTCACCACAGAGAAACATACTTTTTTCTTTTATTTCTTCTTCATAAAACACTTTTCAATCGACTGCCATTCCTTCATTTCTCAGTGGATTGACTTGAAATTTGGTAGCATTATACCTTGGTCCAATACATCCAAACCTTTTCTATTTAAGTCTTTTTAAGTATTTTATGGGTCACAGGTCAAATAACCCAAATATGTATATTTTAGGCTCCTGTACAGTCACATTTACAGAAACCAAGATGACAATTGGCCCAAATATAAATTTTCATGGGCCCAACACAGTGACATACAAAAATTTTCCATTCTGAGTCTTTTGAGGGATGGTCTAAGCTCACAAAAAAGCATAATTTTAGGGGTTTTTTGACAAAATATAACATATTAAAGAACCTGAATATTCAAATACCAAATATTGGTTTGAATGTTCATTATAATTATTCTTATTTAGATATTTATTTCATCTCTACATAATTAAGCTTGCCTTTGCCAACCCTGAAACTAATAGAGTTGATATTGTTTTCTATATCTCTGATAGACAGATATCAACTAAATCAGAAGAAAGGACAACGAGAGTACAAGGCCACGAGTCAATTGAATCAAGAATTAATCATAGGCCAACACCATTGCTGGTATAATAGGCTAGATACCTCTCATATTTCAAAGACAAGAGCTGGCTTACAATTTTATCCTGCAAATCATGGTGTCATTTTGCATCACAGGAATTGCACCATGTACAGAAACTAATGTTAGGTATTGGGTTTTTGTGATCAGCTCAAAACTGTTTTGATTTCACTGTGAGATGTCCAGGAAGTGTTTAACCTCAGATGAGCCATGAAGAGGCAGATACTAGGTTATTTGTCTACACCTAGCATACTGTTCAGGTTGATTGCAGTTCCCATATCATTTAGCCTTCAGATACAGATGTAGCCATTTAAGGTCTCCTTTAATGCTCACATTATCTCTTCCTCAGAACTTTCTTCCACGTACAAGTTTAGTACTCCCTAGGTACAACTTTCTACCTCTGGCAGAACACTTACAGCTTGCATTTTCTTGTGTTTTAACTGCACCTTGTACTGAAACAATGTTAAAAACATATTCACAAAACTGTATGTTTCTATAATATTTCAATTTGCATAATTGGAAATATTCTTACTATAGCCAACCAAAATGTTAGGTACAATAAGTTTACATTTCTTATGATATTTAAGCTAATGTCTGTGAATTTCAATTTGATCCAATCGAAATATCTTGCACTATTCTTACAAAAAAAACACCAGGTAAAACTGTGTTTTCCAAAATACCTCAACTCTGCATACAGAATACCTTGATCTCTCGTGCATCTGCCTATGAGATATGTATGCCACCAGCCTTGAGCTAACTCCCACCTAAAATTCATGCTACAATATGGATAATTACACCGTCATGCTACAAT